TTTTAAAAAATTTATTATTATATATTTATTGATTGATCTTACATAGTTTTGATTAATTATAATATATGACACCCTAATGCCTATAGGTAATCTAGGCATGCCTATGGCATGCCATCATAGGCACGCCACCCTGGCATGCCAATGACCTCTCACCCTAGTCACCACCAGTGACAAATAGATTCGCCCCTGGTCTGAATTGTGACTTTGATACATGCTAACTCCATAAGTTCACCATAAGTGATTGCACCATAGCACTCCTCAGCCCAAGTATCATAATAATTCCAAATTTCATATCTAAATCCTTTTCTCAAAGATGAATCTTTTTTTTTTTAAAAAAATCTTAAAGGTGAGGCCATCAAAGATGAATCTTCTCTACAAAATAAAATATATATGATATAAGTTTTATTAAAGAATCAAAATATAAATAAATTCATATATATCTAAAAATAACATACATATCATATTTAAGTCCATCTAAAATATAATAAAGCTTCCATACTTTAATAGTAAAACTACAAAGTTTCATACAAATAATGCTTTAACCAGAATAATCACTTTTGGTCTCTTGTTTAAAACATAGGTTACTTTGATGATCAAATTCAAATTTGTATATATCGTTATTTACAAATTTTGGATTACTTAGTTCTACTCCAAAACTAGTATATGTAGTATTTTCATTACTCTTTTTCATAAATGATGCAAGCTTAATTTGGTGTCTATAGAGAGGTTTACTGATACAATCATTATCAAATAGAAAAGTAAATGTCTTAGTACAATCGTCATAAGTTGATGTTAATTTTTTAATCCAATTAGTGTTATCCCAGAAAGTTAGCTATAGTAATTAAAGGTTATAATTTATCTATTAAATTTATTAAATTTATTACATAAATTTATCTTACCAGTAAAAGAAATTTTTAGTTACCTCAAAACTTAATTCAGAATTTAACCTAGCGATAACGGCATTATACGTTATTAAAGGAACAAGCATGTTCCACTTTTTGCAAACAGTTCTCAGAGTGCAAAAATTCTCAAAGCTATTATTTATCAATATTATTATCAAGTCAAAATAAAATTCAATAAAAGTAATTATCTCAATATAAACTTACTTTGTTTCTACAAAAATATAATTTAAAATTTCAATATGCAACTCATTAGGAAGATTTTGAAACATCCTGGATTGCAAAATCTAAAACATCAAAACATCAAATACTGTTATTTTTTCAAATATCAATGTTGCTGTTATACGTAAATGAAGAATATACAGTCGACTCTGGATATAACAAACCTTTCTAGTAAATCCCCTATAATAAACTTTTTTCTTCAGTTTGTTGTAGAAAGAGTTGACTGTATATGCCTTTTTTTTTCTTTCCATCCCACCAGGACAGCGTACTTTATTAAACAAATATATTGTGTAATACGTATCGATATGCATTCTTTTAAATTTTTCCTTTAAATGGTATAAACTCTTAGCCATGTACGTACGTACGTATCTCCGAGTCCCGATTTTACTGTCACGTGATACTCGGAGTTTAGGTTAAGGTTAGGAAATTGCACAAAGAAATTTTTTATTAGGGATTCAAGAATGGTTTACTAGACAAAATTTTGAGATAAACGCGATTTTTGCAAAGCGAACGTTTGTTTTGAATTTCTTTACGTTACACCTACGACCTGTGCGTTGTCCGTTTTGATGTTTGTATTAAAAATGCATCAAAAACAAGTATTTTTGCATAGAAATCGAGAGTCCTCCGCACCACTCTAAACAATAAAAATAAAAAAAAACAGCGTTATTACTTTAAGGAGCATATTAAAACGAACTTGACGACGTTGTGGGTTTTCTGGTTAAAGAGTTATTACAGTTTGAATTTTATTATAACATTTGTCGATCTATAAAAAAATATATTATGAGAATTTACTATATGACCTGCACTATGTAAATTGACCGATATGATACATCCCAATCACAAGAAAATATTTCTATATGCAAAGGCCTCATATACTACGTATATTGATGATCACAAACCAGTAGTATCAACGATTTTAATTTTTTTCGTGTTAATACAGAAAATAAAAAAAAATTCTTTAAAATTCTATAAATTCTAAAATATCATCTGTACACTCATTTTAAATATGTTTTTAACTAGAGTTTCCATCACGTTTATTTATTCCATTTTGAGATGTATTAGTACTTGACACTTCGATTTCATCAGCATCAATATTTTTGTTTTCGGTTTCGTCGCGTAATTGTTTTTGCCACATTTCATAATATAAACCTATATATTTAGAATTAGATTTAAATTTTTAACATGTATTTCAAACATATATATATATATATATATATATTGTAAGCATGTTTATTACCTTCGGTATTTTTGATAAGTTCATCATGAGTTCCCTAATAAAAATGCAATAATTGTCATAAGTGTTTAAATGGCTAGAGAACAAGTTCGAAAAATAACTAGAAATTAATATTACCTGTTCTGCTACTTGCCCATCTTTGATGCTATATATAAATTATATAAAGTTTGTATTAATTAAACTGTATCGTTAATTGATAAGATAATAATAACAATAAAAAGTAATCTAACCAAAGAATCAAGTCAGCATTAATAATAGTACTCAAACGATGCGCAATAACCAATGTCGTACGATCTTTAGTTATATTGGCGAGTGCATGTTGAATCTGTCTTTCTGTGGTCGTATCAAGGGCAGAGGTAGCTTCGTCAAGTAGAATAATCTAGGTTGAATATTATGATTTAAACATATTAGCTTTTATTTGGATATGAAAATCTTTAACAAATAAATAAAAAAAGATATAAACCGCTGGGTCCTAATAATAAATCAATATTAATTAATGGGTTTAAACAAATAACATTAAATAGATAATATAAATAAAAACCACAAACCTTCAATATTGTCCTTGCAATCGCCACACGTTGTTTTTCACCACCACTTAAACGCAAACCACGTTCTCCAACACGCGTCTGATAACCTAAAAATTAGAAATTTATAAAACATATTTATTCTATTTATTCTATTTATCACGCATCTTTTTTGTAACTAGATACAAACCATCTGGGAATGATAATATACGATCATGGATTTGGGCAGCTTTTGCAGCTTTGTAAACGTCATCTTCCGGTGCATCGATATTTCCGTAATGAATGTTGTATAAAATCGTATCATTAAATAAAACAGTGTCTTGAGGTACAACGCCAATATTTTTTCTCAAGCTTTCTTGTTTAACAAGCCGAATATCTTGACCGTCAATAAGAACACGACCAGTTTGAACATCATAAAAACGGAATAAAAGTCGAAGAATGGTTGATTTACTATTATACAAATTTGATCGAATGTTATTAAAAAAATAAAATTTTGCTTAATAAATAACGAAATTTTGTGTTATAATCTAAAAATACATACCCGCCACCACTAGGCCCCACTAAAGCAACAGTTTTTCCTTTAGGAATTGTGAATGAAATATTTTTTAATGCTGGATGTCTTGGATCATAAGAAAATCCAACATTTTCTGTTTATATCAATAACCAATTAATTTTCATTCATATAAGATATTATTAATAACATTGATAACAAATATAAATTGAAATTATAAATTGAAATTAATAAATTTACCGAATACAACAGATCCTTCAGCGACCTTTAATTCAGTGGCACCGGGTGCATCCTGAACACTTTGTTGTTCCTCGAACAAGTCCAACATTTTTTCCATATCAACGAAATTTTGCTGAATCATTCTATAATATGTACCGAAAAAGTTGAGCTGTTCATAGATTCAAAGTTATTGTCAATAATTACTATATAAATATAATTCGAATATAAATTTAAAATCAAGTCAATGGATAAATAATAAATTTACCGGAGAATATAATTGATTAATATATGTTACAAACAGAATGAAGTCACCAACAGTGAAAATATGCTGAGTGACCTTATAAGAGCATAACAAACAACCGGCCAACAAACCCGCAGTAATCACAAGGTTTTGACTAAGATTGAGAATGTTAAGTGACGAAGCGACTTTATAGTCAGCAACTTGATATTTTTTGATCGCTTCATCATAACGTTGAACTTCAAATTGTTCCGCATTATAGTATTTAACAGTTTCGAAATTTAAAAGCGAGTCGACTAAAATTTAAACGTAAAAAAGAGTTAATTTAATTTACAATTATAAAGGTCATCTAAATAATCAACATACCAGCTTTAGCCCGAGTATCATTATCTAACTCAATCATTTCACGTCTGAATTTAGTTCGCCATTCAGTAATCCATACAGTCGCAAAAATATATAACGACATAGTAATAAATACTATTAAACCAAACATCCATCCGAATTCGATAACAAAGAATATAACAGCAACAAAGATGTCCACAATTACAGGAAATATCTGGAACAATATTTGATTCAATAATGAAATAATACTGTTTGTTCCACGGTCCATAACACGCAGTACTTCACCCGTTTTACGATTGATATGATATGATAAAGAAAGGCTATATTACAAAGAGAATGGATAATGAATGTATGGATAGAAAAAAAAAATAAAGAAAATAATATAAGAATCATCGATAATTACCCATGCAAATGCTCAAACATCCGGACAGAAATCTCACGAGTTGTATACTAATGGGTTTTTATATATATAACGTTAATTTATGAAATAATCAAAGTATATCGATATTATAATATATGTTAAAAATCATTTGTACTTGTCCAATAGGAATCCATAAATAATTTTGAGTAGCTTGAAGTAAACCAACACCACTTTGCAAAAACCTCAGAAGTGCATATACAATAATTGGCACCCATGGGAATATTACTAAAGATATATGATAAAATAAATATAAATTCATTTAAAATTATCATAAGAAAAAAAAAATTTTTGAAAAATGAATTACCAACATCCCCGGTTAATTCATCAGTGATAATTTTAAGTTGTTTTGGAACAAGCACATTAACCACACGTCCAGCAATTAAAAGACCAAAACATATAAAAACTAGGAACTGGAGAAAAGGTTTTTTATTTGGCCATAAGAAAGGAAGAAGGCGTAGCATTTTTTCATAAAAATCAGCAATTGCACTCTTCTTTGGTTGACTACGTTGCGCAGGTTGAGAAGAATTATCACCTTCAGCTGAAGGAAAAGTGCCATAAGACGAGGAATTCTCAAGAAGACTTTGGTCATTTTCAGCATCTTCTCGGTCCAAAGTAATTTGAAAAGCACGAACCAATGATACCATACTAGCAATGAATAAAGCAACATAACGAATAACAAATATACAGAAGAAAGCAAGGTCATAATTTGAAGCAAAATGTCCTAATGAAGACATTAATTAATAAATATATAACATTATAATAATTAATTAGAAATTAAAATGTTAAAAAAGTTGATAAGAAATAATAATCAATTGTTTTGGGTAAGAACTTACTAGATTCACCATTGAATTCGGAAAACCACAGATAAAATATTAGAGCCTCTCCGGTTAAAGAAACCCAATAGAATAAATAATTTACCCAAGACCATTTTCCAAAATTTTGCCTTTCTAATGCCATTAAGCTCATATTCATAATCCAAGCAATCAAACAAATAACATCATAATAAACTATTACAGTTGAAGTCCATGTTTTTGATTCAAGAGCTCTGATAATAACCGCCACACAATCAGCGAGATATGATAAAAGTACAATGTCACTAAAACCGTATATAGCTCTAATTAAAGGAGTAAGACGTCTTCGCGAAAGTCTATTATTATTTAAAGGGGAATAACCAGACGGGTTTCGAATGATATAAAAATATCGATAACCACCAAATATTATAATATAAAGTAGAAGACATGATGGATAAATGACCATTTCTCTGACAACACATGGATTATAAATCCCATTTTCGGGAGGTGTTGGACAAGAGAAAGGTGATGCCTCCATGATGATAGAAGCGTTCAAGATTTGCAAATTACTTTTTTGATCAAATTATAGTTTCAGCCCTTGTTTTTATGTTTTATGTCGTATTACACCATTTAATTTATCATACGATTGGACGATATCGGATAAATAAAGAAGCATGTTACAGTTACATGGTATTTTTAAAGTTGAATTAGTAATATCAAATATCGATATTATTTAGAATAATATGATCTACGCATGTACTTTACTTACGTATGCACTACGTACGTACGTACATATATACGAGAAACGGATCGTTAGGTCGTTTACAATTAGCGTTAGTACATAAGAAAAATCCCATATTGGATGATATTGGATGAAATACAAACAAATACGTAATAATGTGCATAGTTCCCATAAACATTTTATCTATCAGATATCTGATATCTGATGGATAATTGGTTAAAATAGATGAATCATCGAATTATTTGGATTATACGTATATTATATCACGTAGTAAATTTTCTTAAAAATTCGGACATTTCACTTAAATTTCGGGTAAATTCATTAACTTTTGGATAATTCTCTTAAAATTTGATATTCAAGTCGACGCACTTCAGTATACTTCAATGCATTAGTTAAATCTATATGGATATCGGATCAAACAAGGAGGACATCCGGATAGTATATAAGTGGATGGTAGATTAATCTGTATGGGAATTCTAAACAATTATACAAATGTCCTTACAGGGTTAGGGTGAACGCCACACGATGGCAACACGTAAATATCAGATAAATAAATATAAGAACCCAAACGTTGAAATATCGAAAACTTTTAAGCTTTGTGAAGAATAACTGCAATCTTTGGTGTTTTATGACAGTACAAAGTGATATCGGTAGTGATTGGAACCGTTATTCGTTTAATCGCCTTTAACCGTTTATTTATGTTATACCGTTAAACGAGTAAGAAATTTTATAAACGATTAAAAACCGTTAAACTATTCGCTTTAAATGTTATACGATTAATCGTTTAATAATCGGTTAATACCTCACGTGGATATAAACAAATATGCGTGTGGTTATTTTATAACACTGAACGTTATCAACGATGGTTATGGTTAACTTTCCGAAATCTATTTCTGAAAAGCCATTTTACCGAAGCCATAATATTGATAATCCATTTTATTGACAAGACATAATTTTGGTATCTCATTTTTCCGAAAAACATTTAATCGATTAGAAATTTCCTATCAAGTAATTTATCTGAAACCATTTCTCCAAACTAAAAAACAATGGATTATTATTATATATTTCGTGTTGAGGAATTGAGTTTTCAGAAAATTAGTTTGATCAGGAAAGATGAAAACTTCTATCGGTGAAATGGGATGTTGGTATTATGTGATCAGAGAAATGGTATTTCGGAAAAGTGGATTTTGGGAAATTGAACAACAACGATCAAACGATTAAGCAGCATAATTATGAGTAATGCCAAATTAAAATTGAAGCGAATATTCAAGTTCTTACTGTGATGAACTGATTGTATTGTGATTCAATTATGCTATATTATAATTTCTCGTAGCTAAGTTCGTCACAATGAAAACTTAAATATTTACTTCCTGGTTTTAATTTGGTGGTTATAGTTGGTGGTAGAATTAATTTGGCAAATTAATACGGCAACGGCATGTGCCGTATTATTTGCCGTAATTCTGTAGTGCCGTAATGCCGTAATGCCGCAATGCCGTAATGCCGCAATGCCGTAATGCCGTAAATGCCATAATTCCATAGTGTCGAAAACTGTAACGCAGTAAACATATCGGCGAACTTTCGGAATTGGGTTTGTAAAATATATCCTCAATTTCAGTGACTAAAAAATATACGATTTCTATTTAATGTAATTTTTATTACGTTTATGCATAATTTAAGGGATAATTAACAATAACAATATAAAAATTTTGGATCGTTATGGTTAATTACTCAAATTATTTTTATATATTCATTTAATCCCAATTCCGCGAATCTGCCGATATGAACTTTTAAAGTACTTTCAACCATTAAATAAATTTACTAATTTCTGGAGCAAAGCGGTGGAACTTAAGGCCAGACAATAGGTGAAAAAAAATTCCGGGTGGGTTCCGGGTGTAGGATAAGAGCATAAGCAAAAAATTCAATTGCTCAGTATTGAAGTTGTCAATTAGTAGATACGACATATCGCACTTTAAATTTAACTTTATTTACTGTTACTTAGAAGTATATGACATATCGCACTTTAAATTATTGTTACTTAGAAGTATATAACATCGCACTTTAAATTTAACTTTATTTACTGTCTCTTAGAAGTATATGACATATTGCACTTTAAATTTAACTTTTATATATGGCGCAGTATAATAAATTCTAATTATCCGTAATAAAATAAATTCTCGATAGTGGTTTAATTATAGAAATAAATGCTATATATGAGTTTAATGCAGCAATAAATCAAATTTGATCTTATTTTTGAGCACTTACTTTCGAGAGACTTCAACGTATCAAAAAAGGTTCAAGGACACAAGAATGAATATTTGAAGTGACTTATAGATATAAGC